TTGCTTCTCCCTCAGCTAGTAGCAGCTCAACGGCAGAGAAAGAGGCGACTGCTCCCCAGGTAACAGCCCAGTTTTGAACTGTACATTCCTCAGTCTGTCTGGTCCTGTTTGCAGCAGCAAATCCCCAACCATAGTTACCTGCCCCACCAGGCTGCTGGCAGGATGAGGCAGTGTTTATGAACTGCTCTGAAGCTCACCCGTACTACACAATTATCAAGGTTTAATTACTGTAATTCATCCAGTTACATTATTCCTCCAAGTTCAGAGAGCAGTTAGGGGTCTGTATTTATTCTGGCTTCAACACACAGCATACTGCTTTATGCCAATGCAGAGCTTACTCCAGAGGATGCTAATCCCCTCCCAGAGGCCAGCAACGCTCAGAAATCCACAGAACTTCAGGACATCTTTCATCCCCCCATTAGCTTCCTTCCCATCCCCACTTCTTTAGCTGAAGACTTTGGGGACTAAAACTATGATACAGCCTAGGAGGTGCACTGCGAGACATGTTTCAAAGGGATAAGAAGGTTCAACAGCTACAGATCAAAGCCCATAGAAGAAACAAACAAATTTAAATCATGAGGCAAAGAGGCAGCAAAGCAGGAGTCAGCAGCTAAAATAATGTTTGGCCCTCCTGTTGGTTCTAGGGTTAAATGTACAGTTTAAACCAGAGCTTCTTTCCCCATCACCTCCAACACCAACCCATTCCCTAGCTAAAATCATCATTCACTGCTTCATGTCCAGCCATAAGCTCTTTCCCCAAAACCTCAAAGCTCTTCACGCACCATCACATCAGGCAGGATGCAGGTTGGGGAGGGAGACAGGGAAAGCCATTTTGAATTTAAATGTTAAGGGAAAGAAACTTACTTTGCGGCATTTGCCTTGGTGGGGGATCCAGAGATCGGCCTGCTTGAAGAGCATCTGGGCTAAATCCCTGCACCACTTCCCCAGCAACTTGCACTGCTGCTGCCCTCCAAAAATGAGAGAGCAAAGAGGGAGAGAGAGAAAGACTGTGCAGAGCCCAGCGCTGCAGAGAATGAGACAGAAGCAGCAGAGTGAAGCACCAGTCTGCTGATTAATTCAGCCTGTTTCCAGTCACGCTGCAGATCCAGCAAGGAGGCGGTGGATGGGGGTGGGGGAGAGAAAGGGGGGAAAAAAAGGCAGAGAGAGAAGAAAGTTTGCCCAGGATAGCACCAGATGTCTGTAAGAATGGTTCATTCATCAGATGGAGCCGACACAGCCAGAATCCCTGGGTTCCCTGCCTGTAGAGATGCATATGCATGCACAGTAATGGTTGATGCTGACAGACAGGGGTCTGTGGAAAAGCAGATGGCAAATTAGACAGGACAAAGTGCTATAAAATATACTACAGGGGAAAGAACACCTGAGCAGGCAAGGAAAAAGACTAGATTGAGACAGAGATACCCAGGAATACTAACTCCCCCACATAAATCTAGGATAGTCTTCCAGACAACTCCACAGCTTTGGATTCAAGCTCAATTTAAAAATATAAGCATTTGCTACTTAAACAAGTTGAGATGGTTACAGGTCCGGTCTGAAGTGTTCCCTTCCTCTTCTCTTGTTGATAGAGAAAGCAGCAAAAGCCCCTCTCAGCATCCAATATTCATACATCCTGAGCCACAGAACCTAAACCAAAAGGTGCATGTAAATTCTTCATAGCCATGCACCATGCCCGGGGCTCCCCATTTACTGACACCTGGGCAGTGGCACAGAGAAGGCAAAGGATTAGCATAGACCAAGAAGGGCTGGGTAGAACAACAGGTAATGGGATAAAAAGGCCTTTGGAGGTGAAGGAATGAGCCTTCTCTCTCATTCTCATCTTTTACAGGAATGCTTCCTTCTCATTGTTGGAGGGAAGCACCTTTATAAGCGGGTTTTTATATAGGTCCTACTTCAGTGCTGTCCTAATTCTGACTGGGGCTTCCCAGTTCTGCAGAGCAACCACTAAACCAATTACTTTCATTCCATAGAGAAAGGGGTAAAGAACTGGCCCAGCCAAGAACCACACAAAAACTGCAGCATAGAAGAGAGATGCCTGTGGAAAAAGGATCAGTTTGTGAAAAAGCCCTTGGAAGAAGAGCTGAGGTTTTAGAGAACAGCAGGGAATAAAAACAGAGATACAGTTACTGGCAAGATGAAAAGAGGCAAAGGACTTGGGCTACTTTTCAGTCCAAACATAAGACTGCAGCTCTTGTTAGGCATCCTGGAACAAGATAGCTCAGGACCAACAGTCCTGTAGCTGGAGCAATGTGGAGTACAGCATAGGCTCCCTGAATACATTTCCGGGCTCTGGCCAGGAGGCACGGTGCTGTATCCAGGCTGCAGCAATTACACTGGGATAATACAGCTCAGTTGTTATTGGTAACTGTGGAATGGATGATGTCAATAATTTTTAATAGTTGTGTTGCTGCAAATACAGCCTACATCTAAAGTTAACTCAAACTCATGAGGCTCACACTGTCCTGTGGCAATCAGTGCTGCTGTCTGTCTTGGTATATGCTGAGTGCGTCTGGGAGCAGAGATTATGACACCTTTCGCAAGTATTAAATTCACTTCAGAAATACACAGAAAATTAAAAAGTCAGGAGAAAGGGAAAAGAACAAGATATCAGCACATTTAATTTAAGCATTGCTCCTAAAATACTCTCTGCCTTTCTCTGCAGTGTCTGGCTTCTGGAAAAAATTGGAAGGCATCCTACATTACACCTGACAAACTCTGATCCTCAGCCATTTCTGACAACGGAACTGTATTAGCTGACTGGAGCCAGAGGACAAGTTTCTCATCTTCTGAGTGACAGATGTCTGTGCTGCAGTGGTGCTCTGAGCACGCCCTCTGTTCCAGGAGTGCTAACTCTTCATCACACACATATATTAGAGCAAAGAGATTGCTTTCAGCTAGATTTGGGACTGATGTTTTCACTTGGGTTCATTTTATTTTTAGCATTTTAAAATAAACCTAGCATATCAAATTTACTACTGAGGTTACATAGCAGGTTAATTTGTTCTCTTATCAGCATATATGTGTCCAAGTGCTCCACTTTGGAAAAGAAGATGGATTCTACCTTAAAGGGGGTGAAACAAGGATCTGCAGTACTGAAAAAAAAAAATAGGAGAAAACTCCTTAACACCAAATAATATACTGTTAACAAGAATAAAACCATGGTCTTTGCTCAGAATCCAAACAAAGTAAGTTGCAAAATGCAGCTGTATATATAATTTTTTTTTTATTCCTATTGAAAAGAGCGTGATGATCTCTTGCCTTTAATTTTAACCCCCATTCAGAAAGGAGGGAGAAAAAACTTCAATGTCAGGAGAGAAGACTAGGACTTCAGAACACCATAATTCCCCCTGTAATCTCCTTGTGCAGGACGCTTTTCTAATAGGCCTTTTAAAGGTCTATTACAATACTGTCCACGCTGCTGCCTGTCCAGCGATTTGATACGCTCTTCCTGTGTTGTACAATGAAGAATATCATATGAGAAAGAGAGAGATGAACCAAAGATAGCGACCTACAGTGAAAGTGTCCCCGTTGTGCTCTGCCATGGCTGGAGAAATGCCAGTGTCGGCGCTCTCAGATGCTACACAGAACACACCCCTGTACAGAATGGTAATTGCATCATCTCTTAAAATGATCAATACCAGCCCATGATGTCATTAACAAGAGAATAAATAGATAATTATCCTCTTTGGAATGTTACCTCCATAGTAATACAGCAATTTGATATAAAACAACATAGTTCAAACACATCCTCCCAGCATACCAGCACCAAGAGGTTCAGACATGAGTAAGCCCAGGCCTTCCTGGTCCAGCACACTACAGAACAGAAAACCCAGCAAATAAGAAATCTAGTAGGCAAGTGCAAGAGTTGATGTGAAAAACTGAGTACTTTTTAAGTCACTTACACTGCTGTAGTAATCTTTTAGAGCAGATCCGAGTCTAGGTACTTTGCACTAATGAACAAAACCTCTTCTAGATGCTAGAAGCACTGTAAACAAAACAGGAGAAAGGGAGGCACGCAGAATAACAGAGAGACAGCAAACATGATCTGGCAGATGAAGCTTACAGTGAGGTAGAGAGAGAGAGACACCAAAAAGTAAAGCCAAAAATGTTATCTTACCGGACCCAGCTGAGAGCTTGGTGTGTATAATGTTCTCCACTGGTCTCAAACTACCTGTCCCATTTCTGACTGGGATCCAGAATAAGGACCAGTTCACTTTTTTGAGTGAGAAATATATTTAATACTCAGCTGGCTCCTGAAACATGGCTAAAACATAAGTGACCAGTAGACTACTCACTAAAGTGATCAAAATAATTTTACTTTTGGGAAGTAATAACATGTGCCAAGTTTACAGTCTCCTGTCAGCCACAGCAGATATGTCTTTTTAGCTTCTATAGCAGCTATTCATGAAGATCTCTCTTTCTTCTTTTTCCTTTGAAGCTCAAAGCATGGCAAGATAGTAAGAGACAGATTGCCCCTCCATACAATATCTAGACTTATCTGGCACTTTCTAAACCAGATCTAGAAATACTATCCTGCAGCACTCCCTAGAAAGACATGCAATTGCCCAAGAAATACATACACTTATAATCAGAAAAACTGGACTCAGATGATTTCATTACCTTAGTTTATTTTAAAAATCTTCTCAGTGAATTCAGCCTCTCAAATAAAGCCAAGCTAAGTGTCCAGGGGATGGAAGCCCTACCTTAAAACCTCAAGAAGGACACAGCATATCTGACAGCATATACTTCACTTATGTTGTTCCACCATGGTGCCTCAGTCCCAGCCTGCAAAGGACTTACCTACTCATACAAGCATTCCTTCCCTAGGAATGTGAAGGTGACAGAACTCTCAACTTTGATACTAACCATGGATTATATCATCACATAATAACACCAAATAGTGAGTCTTGACCCAAAATAATGAAACACAATTAAAAGGACTCACCATTTAAACTGGGCATGACACTTATCAGGAAACCTACCTGACACTTCTCCTTGAGGTCCATGGCTATACAGTTCTGTAAGCATGTCCAGCAAAAGGGGATTGCTCCTCAGGGGAGAATGTCTCCTAGGTAGAGATGAGCTTGGCTACACTTATCACATCACCATCTGTGGAAACAGAAGGGGAAGCAGTCAATCTCCCCATATCACTCCCTTTAGGACAAGAAAGTGATGAAATTCACAAAATTCAAGTTACAGGATTGGTCTTTAGAAGAAGGAGAACTGGGGAGCTGAAAGTGCTTCTACTAGTACATCAACCCTCCCCTTACTCAGAACTGACCCCATTATCTTAAGTCCCCCCAAAATCTGGCAGCAATAGATTAATTAAGTCCCCTGCAGCTCAGAGTAAGAGTATTATTGCAGCCCTGACACACTTTTGGGCAAGCCTCCAGAAAAAGCTGACAAAGCGCTGAATTCCACCAGGTGTTGGAGCATGCTGTCACCCATGGCTATTTGTCTTGCTATTCTTATCTACAAGGAGCTTTGTCCAGCTAATCTCTAATGGAGCCTGCCGTAATGATTCTTCCATTTGCTGAACAACACCTCCTATCTTTGACAAGGCTATGCTGCTGGGCTGAGCATGTATCTGACCACCATTAAGTAGGCCAGAAGTCATAAAAACAATTCCAGATTATCAGGGAACTAGGCCTTTTTTTTTTTTCCTTTTTAGCAAAACTGGGACTGTAACAGAATTGAGGTAGGAAGCAGCTCTGGAACTCACATCCTTCTAGCCTATCTTCCCCTTGATCTCCCATGGCATAAACTTGTTCTTCTTCCACATACGCAAAATGTCTTTTCTGCTCAAAACAAAGGATTTGTGTACATTGCTCCAGAGGATTCTCTTACATATAAACACAATGAGGTATTATAAGATCATGCTATGATTGGTCTTGGGAAAGTCTTTTTGTTGGTTAGTAACTCTTGGTTCTATTTTTTAATATCACACACAAACTCAGGGCTTGGACATATACTTCTCGTAAATCCAAACAAACAAGGAAACAACTAGATCTGCAAATCAATCCAAACACCCACACATTTCCTAGATACAACAGGACTGGCTTTTGCCAGCTGGGATTTACTACCCTGCTCTATACCATACTGCCTTCTTCAAAGAAGGATTCTGGAGGTCCCATCCTTGTGGCAGTCACCTATGGCACTACTCTCCATGATGCTACATCATTTCAAGGAAAATGAGGCAACCAAAGCTTACTCAGAAAACCACTACTGCCCCATGCTGAAGAGTTAGATGTCAGTATTTCCTCTTATGCAGGCAAGTCCTGCACCTGCGTTCTGGGAAGCAGCAAGCATTCAGTATTCAGACTGCTGGTTATCAAAGAACTGCTTGCAGTCCAGCAACCAGCACCTGCAAGTACCATTTTTTTGGCTGCCGGCTGGCTGGCATGAGCCACAAGTCTGGACTCTGCCCTGCTTTTCTGTTCTGTGACCCTTGTCAATGTGCACACACCAAGGGAATGAAGCTATTTTCAGTCACTTCGTATCCCTGCCAGGCCAATTAGCAATTGCAAAGAGAGGATCAGACAGTTACTGGAGCGAAGCTGACAAACAGGGCTGGGAGTGGGAAGGGGGAAAACATACTTTTGTAGGCTTGCACACAGCAGCTTAGAGCCTCAATATCTTGCCTTTAACTTGAGAGTGACTTCAATATAAGGGAAGGCAAGAGAAGATGATTTTAAGGAGAAAATGATCACTAACCATAAAAGGGCTAAGAAATAAATCCATGATTCTTTTTTTTCTTGACTCCCCTCCGACAGAAGATTTATTAGTAGATCTACTGAAGGATTTATGCACCGTGCTCTCACTCATTCAAACAAAAGTTAAGCGCCTGAATTTCTCTCTGGATCTGGACTTCAAAAGCATAATTATCCATGACACAACTGGCTAACTGGGAAGCCAAAGTCACAAAAGCAGAACAAGAAAAAACATCCTGGACTGTTTGTGCTAATCCCATGGAGCCCGTATCATTAGCAGTGGTGGGTGGCTCTGGCTGGAGGGCAGAGGGCCATGCAGGGAGGCAGCTGGGCAGGAGGCAGGATTTGCTGCACTGCCCTGAGTGACATTTTGTTTTAGGCAGCAAACTGAAATGTGATCCTGAACGCAAAACATGCCATTCCTTAAAGTTCAAGGCACACCATCCACATGCTTAGGAACACCACCCTGAAGTCCTTCCATGCTAGGAAGCAGGATACACAACAAGGGTGTTAAAAAGACGAAAGACTGGTTGGAAAGTGAATATTCCCTACCCAGAGAAATTCAAAAGCTGTTATAATGAACAATATAACAAGAGCTTGTAAAAGTAATCAGTGGGGCTTGCAGCACTGCTTCATCATAGTACATGCTCAGGGCTTCTCCAAAATTTGAACAAACTAACCTGAAATCCAGAAGCAGTTCAGTTTCTCTCACATCCCCAATTTAAGATGCCAACAATGGTTAGATAGTAGACATTTCACAGAGAGAAAGCAAGAAGCCAAGTCCTTCCTGGGCCAATCTGGATATACAAAACAAGCAGAATGTTTCATTTTCAAAGTTTAAAAAGGGTTTTCATTTAGAACCAAGAATTCCAAACACAGCTAATCCTAGATAGGTTAGGACAGGATAACTGAAGCCAAAAGCAAAGACAGGCTACAATGATAAACCATCCTCCCCCAATTTCTGCACCATGATTGGCACTAGAGCCAAATGTGATTTGTGTGCTTTCTTTCAAATGCATAGTTTATCAAAATAAAAAGTCTGCAAGAATATTGCAAGAATTATGTCATACCAACTAAAAACCTCTTATGCATTACAGAGGTCTTGCAAATACTCAGAGAACGGCTTCACACAACGAAGCTGAAGCAGTTCATTAATTCTATAGGTAACATGCAGATCTGCAGAGTTGTGCATCCATCCATGCTATCCCCCACAAGGTCCTTGTGTGTTCCCCTCCCAGACTCTTCTGTTTCAGGGATTCCTGTAATTCCCACCACCAAACGTGTCTCTCCATCACCGCTACCCAACAGCAGGGACTCGCCACACTCTGGACCCATCCTAGGAGTTTTGTGCACTACTATTTCTTCCACACTAGAGTATCTGCCTTCCTCCGTCCTCCCTGTTCTTATCTCTCTTCTCTCTGCCCAGGCAATTAGTCACTCATGCTGTCAACATGTTAAACTCTGCCAGACAGCAGGACAGAAATGAGGTGGGACTGCTTTGCTGGAACATGTTAGTAGGTGTCAAAGTATTCAGCTACAGACAATCAGAGATGCCCGAAGCTGTGGTTGCTCTGCTCAGACACCAGAGGCTCAAAGTGCAGCCAGTTTACCCCTTTCACTTTCCCAGCACACTCTATCCTCCTCAGCATTCTCATGCCTAGAGCAGTCCATGAAACTTGGAAATGGCTGGATGTGGCATTCAAGTGTCATCATGCTGCATCCAGCGTGAGAAATACTTCCGAATCATTAGGTATAGTAAAACCCAACGTAGGGTCCACCAAATAACTCAATCCAATGCATATATCACTAACAGCAAGCTAACTTTCTGGAAATCCTGTATGCTGAACTCAACCAATAGTCAGCCCATAGCTATGTGGACCAGTCTGCAATGCACATTAGAATATCTTTATTTTATATTTATAAGAATGAATGAGTTCAGTGCTTGGGTTGCCATATGTATCTGATACCCAGTCCTTTTCAAATCTGAAAAATACATTCCCATCACACCAAACTTATTTCTGTTTTGAAGTGCCCTGAGCAAAGAGTAAGTCTTGTAGCTTGATCTGAGCATCAACAAGTGTCTGAAGCATCCTTCTGAACAGCAGAAGCAGAACTTTACAAGGGTCTATTCAAACTTTTGTTTACCTGATTATCTTTGGAATAACAGTCATGCAGCCAGCGTACAGGTAATAAACACTGTGCTTTCAGATCCTCCTTTGAAATCCAAGGATTTCAAATCATGACAACTTAACCAAACCTCACAACACCATTATGAGATATCAGTGTTGAAATTTAATAAGAAACTATACAGCATGATACATTATGTAGAGAATTTATAAAACAACTAGCAAACAGAAAGATCAGATAACTATACAACCTATAGATTTGGAAAGAAAAATGTGTTTCAGAAGCTGCAAGTCTTTAGGGAGAAAAATAAATCAACCTAATGATACTGGTCTCCCTAAAGTGTTCAATCACTGATGCTTTCATGTTATTTACTGAAAATTCCCAACATAGATTAGTCTATAAAAAATGATGGGGAGTCTGAACATTTCTTGCTGCCAAAAGCGAATTCCTCAAGAACAGAAGCCTGATCTGTCACCAAGAATAGAAACACGGGGGAACAGATAACAACCAAAAAAAGCAGCTGCCTTGGAGAAAATGGCTTAGATTAGAGCTGATTGTTTTGATATCAGCAGAACCATACGGTCTTCCTACTCGTGAGTAGCTGATGCCTGCCTGATAATTTGCAACATGGGCACATTTACTGATATATGGGCTTCCAAAGCTGCATCAAGTGATACTGTCAATTGCTTCGAGACCCACTGAGAGCACAGAATAATTACAGCAAGGGAGCTGGCAGCCACACTTCTTGGCTTCAGTATCCGCTTGTGAAAAAACTTGTCAAAATTTGGGCCAGCTAAACATTCTCTGCCTCAATAACCCTAGATTTTAGATAGGGATATGCATATCTGCTTCAGAGAGAGACCAGGAAGTAAATTTATTAGTATCTGTAAAGTAAGTGAGATCTTCTGAATTAGTGTTGTATATGTGCTAAGTATTATCAACTCAGTAGTGGTCAAATATCTCATTTGTGCATGGCTGTGAAGAATCCAGAGTTGATTTCACACAGGCTCCTCTTCCCTTGCTAAATGACAGGAATTAGAGAGAGACCTATTCTACCTTGAATCAGGAATAGGATTAAATTTAATTTAAAGTTTGTCTTCCACGTGACAAGTGTGCCTTTTGGAGGTGAAATTACTTTTTGTTTAAACCTTACTTGCAGAGAGTTTTCCAGTAAAAAATATGTCTGACTCCTCCCTTCTTTCTTCAGCACAGCA